TGAGTGAGTCTCCTCCAGGGACGTCTACACCCCTACAGCAGGCAGGAACAGCTATCACTATGATACTACAGAGAAAGGTTGGGACTACAGTGTATTACTGGCTAGAGTGTGTGTATGTGTATTTATGTGTGTGTGTGTGTGTGTGTGTGTGTGTGTGTGCATGTGTGTGTGTGTGTGTGTGTGTTGGGAGAGGGGGGGGGAGGAGGGGGTCATCACTACAACATGAAGGGACAGCTATCACTATGATAATGCAGAGGAAGGTTTGGACTACAGTGTATTGTTAGCTAGTGTGTTTGTGACACTGTGTGTGTGTGTGTGTGTGTGTGTGTGTGTGCATGTGCATGTGTGTGTGTGATTATGTGTGTCTTCTACGCCCCAACAACAAGGATAGGCAGGGGCAGTGATCATTATGATACTGCAGAGAAAGGTTTGGACAAAGTATTTCATTTGTGAGGGGGGGGGGAGGGCATGTGAGTCACCCCTACAACAGGGACAGTGATCACTATGATGCGAAAGAGAAAGGTTTGGACAATGTATTACTTTTTTGTTTTTGTGTGTGTGGGTGCGATGTAAGTGTGTATGTGTTTATTGAGAAGAAATAATTTTCTGCGGGTATAAGAGGCAAACACATTGCTTTATTTAATTAATAAGCAATTTTAGTTTCTAGTCTAAGTAGAAAAAACAACACAGCTACATGGATAATGAGTTTTTTGTTGTAAGAAAATGGAATCACTTATGCATGCTTTATAATATTATGTCTTTTGTCCATGATATTTTACTATGTGACTAATCACTTAAAGTTTCTTTTTGCAGATATTTGCCAACTCGAAAGATGAGATTGCTCTCATATTGTTTGGCACACCTAACACAGCCAATGAACTCGCGGATGGCGAGGAGTACCAAAACATCACCCTGGCACGCCCTCTAGGTCTTCCCGACTTTGACCTGCTCAAATATGTACAGAATGAAATACAGCCTAGCAACATATCTGCTGACTGTATCCTTTATGCATGGAGCATATCATTACTATTAATGACTTTTTTTTTTTTTGGGGGGGGGGGGTGGTGGGAGGCTTGATTAATTAATTTAATTAGTGTAGGTGATTGTTATGGTTTCAATTCAGGATTAAAGTGTAGATTGGTTAAACAAATGAAACAAAAATTAGATTTGTTGACTCTGTGCTTTTGTATACCATTCCTCTTGTTTTTATGGGTTCGAATAGAACTAGTTGTGACTTTTATTACAGTTTACAGACTGTGTAGAATTTAGAGATTATGTACAGCATGGATTAAAGGGATAATAACTCTTCGTATGAGATCTATATTTCACAATAAAAACATTGTGAATAACTCATAGAAATATAATATATTCTGTTCTACCACAAAAACGCCAGTTATAGCTATTATTCTGATATCTGAGCTTGTCTTTAGACCATTTGACCTCCATTGATGGCTATACTCTGTTAAAATCTCTTAAGAGATTTTAACAAAAAACCAAACTTTTAAGAAAAAAACAAGGGACTAACTTTGAATGTAAAAATGGATTCATTAACCATTGGTAAGTATGGGAAAATTGTTGTTTACTCCAGTAAAATTAATTTTTTGTCCGAAACGAAGAGTTATTATCCCTTTAAGAATAATTTTATCTTTTAGAAATAAAATTTATCAACTGTTCAGCAGAAAAACATCATTATTTGTTGATATTGTCCTTAATATTGCGCCAGTTATTGATGCAATGGTGGTTGCACTAGATCACTTAGTCAAACATACAGAGTAAGTAGAACATGGGCCAGTCCATGCCTTAAACTTTTAACACAGGGACTTTGGACTTACAAGCTTAAGAAAATGCATGTCTGAATAAATATGTGGTCACTGCAATTAGGTGTTAATTTAAAACGGGATTCATATCTGTTTTAACTGTGAGCATTCATTGTTTGATTATCTTTTTTTTTAATTATATCAAATAAATATCATATTCAATTTAGTATGATCATGTTTATGTAGATTGTAACTGAAGCTTTCCAGTACTGTTTACACACATAGACACGCACATGGAGAAAAATATTTTTGTGTTGTTATTAGAGATAATGCTCTTTCAATTTCAGGGGAAAGAAGTTTGGAGGTGGAAAACGTTTGATCTTGTTCTCAGATCTTGGCGGAGAATTTGCTGATGACCAACTTGATGACATTGTTAATGGCATGAAGCAGGCAGAAGTGCAATTAAATGTAATGTGAGTATCAAGAAACTATTATATATAAATTTGATCATTATTTTCACTATATAATTTTTTATTCTTAATTGCTTCTTATTTTATTTGCCTTAAAAAAATGAAGGTATAACAAAAAGACATTCCTAACTAATTTGAAATTTAAATATGTTTTTTTTAAACAAGTTTTTTGACTGCTTATTTTGCTTTCTCAGACTTAATATATTTTCCCTTTCAGTAATTAGAGCAATCCATGTAAAAATATTTCTTATAAAATTTCACCACTTTTCTCATTCCAATTATCTGTTTCAGATATATAATTTTTGTAACTTACCCAGCATTTTTCAGAACTTTAGGACTCGTACGCTTTTTCAAGCCTTACAATTTATCAGTTTTGATAAACTTTATTAAATACCATAAAAAAAAGATATGACACGTCTCTCTTTGTGTTATCAGTGGTCCAGATCTAGATGATGATGATGAAGATGAAGATGACAGAGGAGCCAAACCTGCAGCTAATGGACACTCCAAGCCGAAGTCAGCTCAGCAGAGAGCTGGGGAGGCCATGGTAAAACACCTGCTGTCACAGGTAGAAGGAGAGAGTTATTCCTTCAGGTAAAGTGCCGAGGACTTTAGCCCTTTTGACACTGTGGGGTACAATTAACTTTTATCTTTCATTAATTAGAGCAAACTTTTTTGTGTACCACATTGAATTAGTTTTGATTAACTTTATTAAACGGTGAAAACTTGGTAATTGGGGAGGTCATGGTAAAACACTTGCTGTCACAGGTAGAAGGAATGTTTTCTTTCGGGTAAATTGTCAGGAATGTTATCCCCTTTTGACATTGAGTGAACATGTTTATTTAACGCTTAGTTTACAAGCAAATCTTGTCATCCACTGTAAGGCAGTACATTGAACTGGACTGGTTAAAGAGATCCACATCTTAGACTACATTCCCATAACCTTATCGTACTAGCAGAATCAACCTATCTCAGCGGGGATTCTCGCAAAGGTGCTGTCAAAATAATCATCTTAATTGTCAAGCACGCCCCCTTGCAAAGCAATATGAACAACATTATGGACCATGAAGTTGTCCTGACTTAAAGTTACAAGGGGGGCTTACCAGACATTTAAGCCGCTTCAACTGAATGTAATGCAGTGAGAATCCCTTAGGAGTTAGATTTATCTAGCTAGTTCAGTAGGGTAATGAGAACGGTCCCTAAAGATCAACAACTTGATTTCCTTTCTGTTAAATAAGAGTCACCTTAAGAGAACCCTTGCGCATATTATATTTTTTATATTTTTTAAGAACCCAGCAGGATGAGAACTTGTGTGAAAGGGTAAAAACCCATGTATCATAATTACATGATAAAAGCTGACCTGATGGTAATTATAACATCTTATATTTCAGTGAAGCACTGCCAGCCCTCAGCTATTTCCAAAACAGAAAGGTTAAGCCCACGCCGTGGAAGTGTAATTTAGAGATTGGGAATAGCCTTCAAATAGCTTTAGCTGGTTATGTCAGGGTGAGTGAAGGTGATTGTGCTAGATGTGACAACACATTGTGCTAGATGTGACAACATTGTGTAAGATGTGACATTGTTTTAGTGTGATAACACAGATCGTTTTCAACAAAACTATATACTCAGTGGATGGCACATTTTGTTAGGTGTGACAAGTTATTTTCTCAGTTTAACTGAATAAATAAAACCTGACAGTGTAAATGAATAAAAGATGTACATGAATCTGAAGATGTTAAAGATGACTGAAATATATCTAATTTGCACATGAGTAAATGTTTTACAGACATTAAAGACAGTCTAGATCAAGAATTAAGTCTGCTCCCTTGACTCTGAAGGGTTTAGCATCACCTCTGTGTAGATATTCAGCTCAATGGTTGAATTATTTCAGGTAGTTGAACAGAAAGCTCCCAGCTTCAAGAATTGTTACGCCAAAGATATCCATGCCGAGGTCACCACCAGTAGGTCGTATCACCTTGACGACGAGGCCAGCACCGAGGTCGAGAAAGAGGAAACTGCACAAGGTATATGGTAATGAAGTCAACTACTATAAAATTCATTTGAATTCTTTAAAAGGGAACTCATCATCAGAGAAGAATTTTATCAGCTGTGTTATTTTATAAGAGTACCAGTAAAGTAATTTTTTCAATAGAAATAAAACAATATTTTTTCAGTCAACAGCTTTATATTGAAATAATTTACCGCCAACATTGTGATGTCTAACAGAGCAGCATCATCATCAGGGAATGAGGCAATCCAGGTGAATAGCCTCTATTCAGGAGATATACTTGTCCCCCCTCTCCTTTGTCTTATCAATTATCATGCATCTCAGTGCTGTTTCCAGCTTGAAAAGTGAAACAATAAAGGCATTAAATTAATAATGTCCACTTGAAATTTATATTGTAAACTATGAAATATTAAAACATGCATTAACACTATTTAATTTCCATTACAAGTATGTTGTATTTTCCACAACTATCAGCTATTACCCTCTATAACAATTATGTTAACAGTAATCATTATGATGGTGATGGTTCATGATGAGATTTTAACATTTAATTTTATTTTATCATATTTCAGGTCACAGATACGGTAACACGCTAGTGCCTTTCAGTGAAGATGACATAGCAAACATGAAACTGAAAACTGTGAAGTGTTTTAAGCTTTTAGGATTTACTGAAACTAAAAATGTAAGTGTGTGGAATAGTTCTGGTAAAATGAAATATAGAAATCAGATTGCTTTCACTATTATAAGGTAAACTGTAGAGTGTTTATTTATTTATTTATTTCGTTTTTTTAATGTAGAATTAATAAAAATTCATACAAGTCAGTGCTAGAGGCATTATTATTATTATTATTATTATTATTATTATTATTATTATTATTATCATTATTATTATTATTATTATTTAGGTGAAGAGGCATCACTTCTTAGGAAATAACGTCCAGTCCTTTGTTGCTGAAAAGTATGATGAGGTAAAGTGTTGGATGCTTTCATTATTAATTCACATGTAAGATAGAATTGTGTTATGTTTTATAGAAGACATCCCATATAATACACTGATTGGGTGATTTTTCTCCTGTTATTTGCATATACCATTTTTTGTTGTTAGACAAAACTGTAATGTTTACATTTGCAGTATTTTATAGGCATGTGTCTAATTTATAAGAGGTCTAGTAAACACTGAAAGTGAAAGATTTATTACTTTGTTTTGTATTTTTATTTATTTGCTTATTTAGCAGTAGCTGGTTGAGTAAAAACAAGTATAAGTACTATAAATACAAGAAAATCTATGCCGTCATTTCCTAGCTATGATTAAAAGTAGTAAGTTGAAATTCCTAACTGTGTATATATCTCTCCAGGCAGCAGGGGTGGCTCTCTCTGCCCTCATCCGCGCCCTCCACGAGACCAACTGTGTCGCCATAGTGAGGAAAGTGTACAGGGCCAATAGCGATGCCAAGCTAGGGGTGCTGTCTCCGCACATCAAGGCTGGATATGAGGTGTGTGTGTGTGTGTGTGTGTCTGTGTGTGTGTGTGTTTTAAAAATATTTTTGAATAACGTTTTAGAAAAACATTTTTAAAATATTTAAATAATGTTTTGAGAAAAACATTTATAAAATGTTTTGAAATAAACTTTGAATAATGTTTGCTAAAAACGTTTTAAAAATGTTTTTTAAATGTTTCGAGAAAA